GTACTAGTTTTATTTTGTTGTATTTATCCGCGACACCTTAAAGGCCGGTCCGTGAAAATATTGTCGGGCATAAACCGGTCCGTGGCGCAAAAAAGGTTGGGGACCGCTGGGTTAGTTAGTTCTTGGAAGCCTATCCGTCATGGAGCGGTATAGAAACAGCTTGAATGGAACCAAAGAGTCACAAACATCCAAAGAAGAGCTTTCAAAAAGCCTGGAGAACTATTCCTGAAGACTGCTTCAAGAAATTATAGGAAAGCTGCCCGAGACAGTTCATAAAGGCAGTCATACCTAATACTGACTCAGACGCTCATTCGTACATGGTTACATTAATGGCTGTGCCTATTTTCCATTTTTTTTAAACAAAATATAAAAAAACTGAGAGGTGGGCAAAGACGTTTGCATAGTGTAGTCCATGCCGTGATTGGTCAGGACTCGATCTGGAGCGTTGGCGGTTCTGACTTAATGTTCTCATCTTTTTTTCTTCAGGAGTGATCGTCTTGGCGTTCGTCTTGTGTTGGCTGCCGTTCCATGTTGGTCGAACCATCTTTTCTCTTTCTCTGGGCACTGGGACTGAGAGACAGGAAACTTACCTGGACACTAACTCCCAGTCAGACACTATCACGCATCCGGATGTGAGCATGGACAGAAAGGATGTCACCATGCCCACTGTTACTAACCCACCCAGCCACTTGTCCTTGCACTCTCATATCATGTCACACACAAAAGGGCGACATGAAAACACCGACATACATAATGGACACACTCAAAATAAAAGTGTTTCGGCTCATGTTATTAATACACAACCAGACAATAGAAACACACATAACCAACTGCAAAGAAGCACAAACACAATCACACACAGCCTGCAAAGTAAGCTATCAATTACCGTAAAGTCACAACATGACAAACCTGAAACAGCGCCTCCCATCCCCACAACTGCATATTCTGCAGCATCTACAGAGCTGCGCTATGACCACGCCTCCAACGACACAGTCTTCAGCGACACACACTCACCCCCTGACACACACTTGTACTTTTTATATTATCTGTCTCAGTATTTTAATCTTGTGTCCTCCGTGCTCTTCTACCTCAGTGCCGCCGTCAATCCTTTATTGTACAACCTAATGTCTGCCAGATACAGACACGCTGTACGCAGCCTCACACACACACAGTCTCACGCACAAGCTCGTCGCATGCACACGCTCACCGTGCACCACTCCACAACCACTTTGTGATGGCAAAAAACAAATGTATGCACAGAAATGGATGCACCCACTGCAAGCAAAAAAGAGGAAACAATCAAACAAACCTCGATTTCTTTTCATTACAATGTGGTACTGTACCACAAATTGAGAATGTCGACATTTATTAATAAAAAATATTTTAGGCATGAATTAAAAAAGGCTTATTAATGCTTGTGGCTCAATATAGCACAAGTAGTTTTAATTCTTTATGTAATTTATGTATAAGAAAACCTCCACATGAACTTCATATACTGGGCAAAAATATTGTGAATGGCATTTCATCAGTACATGGAATAGTTCATGTAATAATGCACAGGCTGAAACACATAGTCCAGTTGTAGCCTGTGCATTATTGCATAGCCGGTTTGTTTCACCCAAAGAAATCTATGCACAATGAAAATACACTAAGTCTTTTATTTTGTCTACAAATGAGTGATGCTAATTCAGTTAGACTTT